GAGTAGAGTAGAGTAGAGTAGAGTAGAGTAGAGTAGAGTAGAGTAGAACAGAATTCTTTATTGGCCAAGCGTGGTTGGACACACAAAGAATTTGTCTTGGTGCAAATACTCTCAGTACAGAGGTGGGTATTCAGCAGGTTCTGACCAGTTCTGGAGAACCGGTAGCAGAAATTTTGAGTAGTTCGGAGAACTGCCAAATCCCACCTCTGACTGGAGATTTTACAGATCCTTCCCCTGCCTCACCCACCAAGCCACGCTCACAGAACTGGTAGTAAAAAAAATATTGAATCCTACCACTGTCTCAGCATACATAAAAGAAAACATACAATTTATAGCAATGGGCTGGTTATTACAGCTGATTACATTAACAATGTGGATTGATTTACACAGATGCCCCTGGAAAGATTTGGTAACAATAATTTACAGATAGGTTTTAATCAAAGTTTTATTGCTTAATAGTTCTTTTAAGTGTCCAACTGCTGAGCTGGCTCCCAGGTCTCACCAGTGAGAATTTAATCTCCCCAACTTTGTAATTTGGCAAAACCCACAGCGATTAAAGTTTAAAGCTGTTTTCCCTAACAGACACATTTCCTAGAGATCAATATTCTGTTTTTAGTGGAAATTCTCACAAATATATGCACAGATATGTTACAACTGCAAATACAGAATGGATTATGAGAATTGCGATCTAATAGATTTGGAGAACACCAGACTGGGGAAAATTGCTTTCAATCAAAGTAGGCTAGAAATGAGGGAAGCACCCCATGATAGATATTCTCAAAATGACCCAAACTATGATAAGGCAATTATGTCTGTCATATGGTACTAATCTATATATATATATAAGCGAAATACTACTCACACATCATCACAAAATCTCCAGAACCATAAAGCTTACAAACTTGAAATTTGGCATGTATCTTCCTCTTGGCTTCTAGGGGCTCACTAAGAAAGGATTTTTTGAAATGACTATCAGAGCATTAATATTTCATATATTATTATTAACACGCTCTGATGCTAAGGAGTTCTACTCCCCCTCCCCATCTGAGAAGAAATCTGTTCCAAATGCAAAACATAAGCAGAGGAGAGGAGTTTCAGTTTCAGTTTTACTTTCACAGCACCAAGCAGCTTTGGTACAGAACACTTGAGCTAAGCCACGCCTAGGCTCCTTGCTGTCTCCTTGCTCACACAGCAAAATAACTGTTTCAGTTTCCAAACAGCCCTCAACTTTCTCCCAAACTGACAGGATGCTAGCCAGATGAATACTGATGGATGCTGGTAGGCAGAGGCACAATTTTTTCCCTTATTTTCCTCCCCCAAAACTAAGTTCAATCACATAGTTTCATAGCAAAGCACGGGTCTAGAGCTAATATCACAAAAATTCATGCTAATCTCTGCATGAATTGCTTATTAATGGGTCAGTTGAATATTATCCACAAGATTTACATGTAACTATCTTTTATATGTTGAAATGAACAAACCTTCGCTTTTGAAATAGATTTCCATGCATTGAATTATTACTCTACCAGACAACCAATATATATTCATTTGATTCAGAACTGGTTGGGCTCCTTAATATGTTTAATGCTGTTGGGCTAAATTTCACATATGTGCCAATAGGGCAATTATGCAGATAACTTTCCCTTGGATACTCCAAAAGCAAAAATCAGCATTAAGTTGAACCTAAAAAGCAACCACGGAATATTCAGAATTTTAAGAGGCATCTCGTCAACAACACATCATCAAGAGTTTGATCAACGAGGCAACCTTAGAACTTTCTGAACCCAACCCTGGAACATCCGCCAGGTCAAAATATTTCCTCTCTCTGTAGGAGGCACCTATATTATTTTTTGATTCATGGAGGGTTTCCTCCCTGCTCTCTGTAAAATCTTCACGACAGTCATGATGGAGCCCCAGAAGAACTTATTGCCTTATGTGAAGGGCAAAGGGAAATTCTACCCAGGAAGTCCTAGGGGTGATTTGGCCAACGTGATACCTCATCAATTGTTTGTGTGTGGAAAGATGCTTTTCCTTTCCTTTATCTGATCGCGTGCCAAGTTTATCTTTCAGTATTTACTCTGTGGATTGTTTGTTTGGATACCCTTCTGCATATAGCTTCGAAAAAGACAAAAGAGCGAACCCCAGGAAGTTTGTGCTGTGGGGCCGAGCTGGTGGAGTTTATGTTTTCGTTTTTCTGCTCTAGCTTGGCTCTGTTTACATGGAAACTAAGCACACCGAGGTGGAAATGGGCAATCCCAAACTTGCCGGCTTTCTGAAGCGTTTGATGCCTATATGTGGTACCAATAAAGAAGAACATTGGTGGTTCAGGGTTAAAATGAAGGGTCCTTGATGCTCTCTGAGCTGGATGGTTTTCTTGGGGACATTTCATTACCCAACTAGGTAACATCATCAGTGCTAGAAGGGAATGGGGTGTGCAGAGGAGGAGGAGGAGGAGATAGTCTGTGAAATCCTTGGTGCTCTCTGAGCTTGGTAGTTTTCTTGCAGGTGTTTCATTACCCAATTAGATAACATAATCAGTGCTAGAAGGGAGTGGGGTTTGAAGGCAGGAGGATGGGGAGGAGATAGTCTGTGAAATCCTTGGTGCTCTCTGAGTCTGGTTGTTTTTTTGCAGACATTTCACTACTCAATGCAATGATGAGTTTGGGTAATGAAACATCTGCAAGAAAACAACCAAGCTCAGAGAACACCAAGGACCCTTCAATCCCAAACTTGTTTAAACTACTGTCCTAAGAATAGTCTGATATGGCCTTATGAGTGTGTATGTGTGTGTGCATCTATCTATTTATCTATCTATTTATCTATCTATCTATCTATCTATCTATCTATCTATCTATCTATCTATCTATCTAT